AGCACAGGAGAACATTTTGGGCGTTTTGCACTTGCACATGCATAGCTGACAATGCTGCGAATGCATCGGACTCATGCAAATCTGATCTGCACTAACCTTGCAACGACACTCATGACGATGACTCGGCAACCGGTGCAACAGGCCACCAAAACTAATCACCTGGAAGCCTAGTGGCCTAGTCTGGTGAGCCTGCTCAATCTAGTCAATGTTTTGTCAATCTTTTCTACAGTGTACAATTGTACGGTCTGCAAGACTGCAAGACCACGACTACGCGAATCGACAATCTGACTTTACACCAACATCTGGGTTTTACAGCTATAGCAGACTATCGCACTATGTCAGAAACCTATGACCCATGACCTGCAAACGTACAGTCCTACAGCATCTGGAGTCTGTGATCCTGAGCGCTCTAGCAGCTAATCTAGCAACAGCTGCAGCTACTCTAGCTCTAGACTCTAGGCTCCAGAAGCTAGTCGCTGGTAGTACTACTAGTAGTAAAGTAGAAAAGCCGAAGAATTCCAATCGAACTGCACAACACTTCGGATGTCCGGCCTGCTCCGAGCAAGCTTCACCCAGATCGAGAGCTCGCACTTGATGACGACGATCCAGTAGCCGCCCTTGGTGAACTTGCACTCGCCAAAGCCGTCGATGAACCTCGCGATAAATTTGGGCAAGGGCGGCTCGGCGGCTACGGTCAAGGCTGGGGCTAGGCCACTAGAGTAGTCACTAGAATCACTAGAGCCTAGGGCCTAGAGTCAGTGCGTGTGACTTGGGGACGGTTCAACGGTTAAACAGTGACGAAAGATTCAGCAGGTTTAAGGGGTGACGAGTAAGTCAGTCAGTACTTTTATCACATCTACGAATCTACGACTCTACGACCTACTAACGTACTTGACCGATTAACTAGACTCTAGTAACTAGACTCCTAGGTCCTAGGGTCCTGGACATGTTTCGAACCTACCGGGTATCCACCGGACCGGCCAATCCCGGGATACGAGCACCTATGACAATGTAGAGCTGAAAGCTGTTCTTCAGTCATGTGATCTGGTTAGATGATATGAAGTTGATGGGCGATGGTCACCCCCTTCCAACTGCTGCAGCGCGAGTCGATACAATCTCAATATAGTCGCTAGCCGCTAGGACTTATTACAATTGACTACTGACTACTACTACAAAAACTACAACTGCATCTGCAAGCCGATTAGCTGGCGAGGCTCTCAACTGGCAGTGTAGTATGGCCGCATAACCGCTAGCCGCCGCTAGCCGTGAAGCCCCGTTCCCCAACACCAACAATCCCCTCCCGAGAACAATGGAAGTGGCGACACCAAGAAGCAAACCCAGCTCAACTGCACTGGCATGCCGGAACCGCGTCTCGGGACGGACCTATTCTTGAGGTACTGTAACCACCTAGTAACAAAAAGTAGCGGCAGGAGCGAACCACAAGACTCACTCAACAGTAGTAATAATGACCTATAAATAATGGATACTGGATACGGCTGCACCTAGTTAAAAGTTTCCAATTCGTTTTTGGGTAAACCGTAAGGCTTTGGGACTGCAGGAAGTTTGATTGGTGACAATGAGTGAATAATTAGTAGTTCGGTATCCAATTAATGAGCAAGTAGCAAGTGATTACTTATGTTCGGCGTATAGGTATAGGGTCCCGCGATTTTGTGCCAGTAGCAGCTCAAAGGCCAGGACTTGGCAGCACTATGGCCATACACTGAAACTCAAAACCTACAGACCTACAGTGTCCCACATGACCTTTAGTACAGTGCTGATGGGCCGGACCTAAAGCTTAGACCTAAGGACCTCATGAATTTACACGACTTGCTCGCCCCGCCTCTGCAAGGGCGTCTCTGACGTCGAACAATCGAAAGGCAATCCGAACCCTGCAGTCTGCTCCATCACTGCAGTCTTTGGCTCAAAAGCCTCGAAAGCCTTGAACACATCCACGAAAGTCGTGGTGTAACTCTTGTGACTCATCACACTGTCCTGATGGAAGCGCTTGCCTCTCATCCTGCTGAAAGGGTTGCACGGGCTGCCACAAACCAAGAGGTCAACATCTGCAGAGTGCTCGGAACTTCTAGACTGACGAAGCGAAGACTCATGCGCAGAAACTTGCATCTGAAGACTCGTGAACTGCTGCTCGATCGCATGGTTGGCAGCTTGAAAGCTGCGGAAATCTGAGCCCGGCTCTGACGTCGACAGGCATCGGAAAGGAATGCCCAACTCCTGGACAGATGCAACTGTCGGGCTATGATTTCCGCATGTAGGAATGAGGCTTTGGGGGTTTTGCTATGGTCTGACACTGCAGAATGACGTGTGAAACTGAAGTTTAGCACTATAGTATAGCTGCTAGATGCGAGCAGGTAGCCGCTTGGCCAAACGTCTAAGAGCTAGGTGCGTAGGAGCCCGGATTAGCACAGAAGCCAACAAACCGAATGATTGAACTGAACCTAACTGAACTGCAGTCCTTGAGTGCAGTTGCTTCCGTGCACGCCCCGCTGCAGCAAGAAACCAACTGAAGCGGTTTCGCACTGTCTGCTGAGACTTTGTAGCCTAATGCCAATGCATGTTGCTCCAGCTGCCGTGCCCACCATGCTTTATCAGCATACCCAGGTCGTGGCTCGGGAATCAGCAACGTATCATCATCTGAATTTTCGCAAAGGGCATCTGCTTCTTCCATCAGGCTGTCACTAAACTCCTGAGAAAGACAAACATCTTCGGCCACCACCGCCCACCTAGAAGCATGGCCGGCATGGCCACTTTCGCCTTGCGCCTCGCACAAGGTCGAGGCGACGTGCCCCCAGCCCATGGCTGCCGAACACGGAAGTCACACGACTAGCCTAGCCCTAACATGGTGAGAAGCGACTGTGCCGCATGTCCAAGTCCACTAGTCACTAGCAGCTGTAGCTAGCAGCTAGCAGTAGCACCAGCAGCTACTGAGCTACTGGCAACACATACGGCGTGCGTCTGATGCTATGGCTGCTATGACTATGATTTGCTTCCCTCGCCAGGCTGTGGGCAGAAGACATACAGCAATATTCATCATTGGGCAAAACCAACTGCAAACCAAAAAAATCAAGCAGCGAAGCAGGCGAAGTTGAATCACACGTTCGGCGCAAAGCCTTCTATCCTAGGTCCTTGTTTCTACATTTGTAGACTGGACTAATCTAGGGAATCTAGGGGCCCTAAAGCCCCAGAGCTCGAAAGGCCCTAGGCGCTGGAGTCTGCATTCTACATTGTGCTTTAGAGCCCTCCACTGCACTTGATGCTCCCGAAAAGCAAACTCAGTTCAAGTCTTTCAAGGGCAATTTGTTTGTTGCTTGGCCGTGTCTACTTGGGGAGGTCGTCTGCCTAATTCTGTCGCCAGATCATCAATCGAGAATCCAGAGGGCCCCGACCTGACAAGATCTTTGAGTTACAAGATATCAAAGTTTGGGTTTAAAGTTCTGCCCGATTCCATGAAAACAAGCTGGCCAACAGATAAATGTGCCTTGGATAGTATGAACGTATTCAAAGTTGCAATGTGTTGATGTGCCCTCTGCTGCCCAATAAGTGCACACGGACTGAAATACAGCAAATCTTCTCCCTTGCAAGGTTTCTACAATCTGTCGACCCTAGGACTCTAGGGCTTTAGGACATATGGGACGTCGTAGGATTGTAGGCTAGGGGACAATATGAGATCTAGAATCTAGAACCTGGGGCCTAGGGTTTCAGGACTCTAGGACTAGGACCGAGAAAATTTTACGACGACTCGAATGATCTAAATAACTAGAGAATAACTAGAATCTAGAATCTGGCTGTTGGCTACAACATACTAAAATTTGGGTCTCGAGCATCACTATAAAACTTCTCATTGAAAAGCAAAGCGGCTTGACCCTCAGCCAAAAAGGTTTCAGTGCTGTTGAATGCCTTTATAAGCTAAATACTTGAACCTGGTACTCGGTTTCGACTCGGATATGACATGGAACAAGCCGTTGGAATTGGTGCAAAACGGGATTCCCTACACAAACCGATGCTTTTCCTCGCCTCCCCAAAACGTGGGCCCGAGACTCAAGACTCTGCCCAAATCCCCCCCACCCCCCGAACACGGCAAAATTCAGAGCCATGTCCAGATTACATAGTTTAGGTTGGAAACGTTTTCGGTTTAGACTCTACACACAGGTAGCCGGACATGGGTTGAGCAGAATATCTTCGTTCATCAGTGTCATAAGGACCGAACCATCGCCATCATTACGGACAGTTGGGTTGGAAGCCGAGCTAGGTATACTATTTCCTTATTTGTTTTATTGTTTTTTTGTATTCTATTAAATGCCTTTTGTAGGCATCGTATTTTCCATTTGTATTTATTTTGTATTGTTTTCGTAAATAAATCACCATGCGCCATCCAGTCGTTCTGCAGGGTTAAAATGTCTCAAACCTAGGGGGCTCGAGAGATCACAAGAGCTACGGCATCCGCGGAGATTGCAAAACGAAATAGCAACTGGTCGCAGCAGAGATGCAAAAGTCACAGGCAATGCGGTAGGGCAGAACTTCAAGAGCCGGGCGATGTGGAGATGCGCTCGACCTCCAACTCAGACCTGACGACTCTCGCAGCGACAAACTACGATCAACAAACGGAGAGCCCGAGACATTTGCGCATGCAAGCACACAAGCAGGACGGCACAAACGTTCGCAGCATGTTTTCAAGGCCTATCCAGCCTGCTCTGGCATCAACCTCCCAAGCGGAGGCCTCCGATGCCTTTGTAAAGTCCACGAGCTCGTGAACTTGCCTGAGCCTAGGCCTTTTTGGCCCTGGAACAGCTCGGCATTCATAATGGATGAAGGGCAGCTTGCCGCAGGGGCGTTCTCGAAAACCGTTTGGATGTCTAGGCTGAAGTAGGAGCCCCTCCCCTGCGCCTGTAGCGCCCACTGTGCGCATGCACATGTGTCGAAAAAGCTATATATGCACATCGGAGGCCGGCGCACCGAGCCTGCGCAAAGCCTTCGACCAAAAATCATGCAGTCTCCTTCAGCTTCCAGGCACCGGTGTTGTCGGCAGGGACGTTCTTGGAGTTGGCCTGGTGCATCTTGATGCCGGCGCTCGTGAGCCGAGTCCTGGCCACCTTGCGGTCACAATCGAGATAGGCCTTGACCGCATCCAGGAAGGCGGTCCAGGCGGTGCCGTGGTTGTACTGGGCAGCCCTTTCACAATGCTCGCTCAAGAACTTCTCGACGGTCCTCAGGTTTTCCCGGTTTTGCTCCTCCAAAAAGACCATCTGAGGGGGCTTGGGCAAGAGCTCCGTGCCTGGATTCAGCTCCTCGGAGAGGGAGTTGTAGAAGCCGAAGGCGAAGAAGTTCATCTCCGCATGGAAGCAGCCGCTGTTGATCTTGCGCTTCAAGGAGTCGTCGGCCTTGTGCTCTGTGAGCTTGGTGGGATGCGCCACGAAACGAGCTTCAGTCTGCCATTCGCGGGCTCGGCGAGCCCAGCCATCGTCGTCGATCTGCTTCACCTTCGGGGGGAAGTTGCTTGTCGCGCAGAAGACGCCCATGGAGCGAAAGCTCCGAGGGTTTCTGTAGAGGCCTCGCCCCGTCAAGGGTGCTCCTCCTTGTTCACACAGAGCTTTCAGGAAGTCGGTGTCCAGATCGTCGTGCTCCGGCACTTCGGAGCCCCAGATGAACCGCTTCCCCCTCATCTGGTCGAGCTGCGGCGAGGCCGACTCCTTTCCAGATTTCGCGCCCGCCACGAAGTAGCGCCCACTCACGAGGAGGCCGTAGTTCCAGGGCTCGTAGCCCAGGAAGCACAGCAGGATCAGCATGAGCACGTCCTTCCCAGAGGATCCGGGTCCATGGATGTAGAGCAGTTCACACAGACGCTCCAAGGCTCCGACGCCGCGACTGAACAGCCGGAGCAAGTAGAGTACTTGTAGCCATGTCCCGTATTTTTTCACCAGCTGAAGCAAAGGGGAGACGACCATGAGCTCCTTGAAAGCCTCTGTTACCGCGAGGCCTTCGTTGTTGGCCTCCAGCGTGCTCGCCCCCGTCTTGAGGAATGCTTCCACCTTGGCGAAGAGTTCTGTCTCCACGGGCGGCTCCCAGGTTGCCGACGACGCCTCTGCGCGCAAGGACATCCGGTCGCTCGGCTGAGCCATGCGCCGCTCCCCGGTGGCGAGGTCGACCACCACCCCGTCGCTGTAGAGGACCTTCCCTCGAGTCTTGTCGCCGTCCAGGGCAGGCATGGTCTGCCCGCTGAGCAAGCCCAGCACCTCGTCCACCAGGCTCTTGGTCCAGCCGCTCTCGTTGAGCGGCTCCGGCGGATTCAAGTGCCCCTTCTGCGCAGGGCGCACCAAGTTCTTCAGGCTCATCCGGATGAGGGCCCCCATGTCGTCCTTGTCGGGAGCCAAAAGGGCTGCCACGAAGTCCGCGAAGTCGGAGCCGTTGGGCCGCACCCGCCGCGCCGAGATGTGGCCGAGGCAGTGTCCCGCGCCTGCGCAGGGCTGGGTCGCCTGCAAGCACCAGTTGAACTCCGGGTAGTGCTCCGCCGCGTACTGGAGGGGGTCCGGGGTCTCCTTCAGGGCCGCTTCTAAGCCCAACTCCGTGGCAGCGGCCACCACCGCGTCCGCAGCATCTCGATGCACCGCGACTCCGTCGTGCTCGAGGGACACCAAACGGTCAGCGGCCGCCAGCTTCAAAGCCTCCAGCGCACGCCGCTCCAGGGACACGTACTTGGAGTAGGCCATGGATGCTAGGCCTCGATTTCGGGCCCTGTGCCACGCACGAGCCTCCGGAGTCAGGCTCTCCCAGCACAGAACGTGCAAGCGGCGCACGGCCTCCTCGATGCCGGCCAGCATGTCCAGCAAGGGGTCCGCCCCCGCACTCGTCGGAACGAAACCCAGGTGCTGGGAGCACCAGTTGCTCGCCGACATGCCGAACCCCATGGCGATCATCAGCCCCTTGGCGTCCTCGCGGCGCAGCGGTTTGCTGGGCCGGGTGATCTCCGGCTCGTCCTTCTCGGCCCAGGGCTTCCGGTCCTCGGTTTTGGCAGTGCGGCGGCGCGCTTCCTTCGCGGCCTTGTTCTCCCGGTCGGCCTTGAAGGAGTTGAGGCCCGCCACCAGCTGCGCCAGGGTCTCCTCCCGGTTTGCCACGTAGTCGCCCAGAGTTCCCGGGAGCACCAGGTCCTTGGAGAGCAGTTGATAAAAACTGTTCGACAAGTCCACCTCGACCACGTTGAGCTTGTACCGGCAGAAGTACTTCACGAGCTTGGGGAACGCGAAGGCGCTCCGACCTACCAAGGCGTCTGGAAGCCCCAGGACCAGGATCTCCCGCTGGATCGGCCTCGGCAGCTGAGCAATGAGCGACGCCCGGGCGGCCTGCAGCTCCTCGCGCTTGGAGTCGTCGGCTTTGCGCTTGCCCCCCGCCTGGTCCGGGTGTGGCAGGCGCCCGATGCCGCAGAAGACGCGCCCCTGCATCCCGGGTGGATGCCGGCTTTCGCGCTGCCAGACCGGCAGCAACCCCACACCGTTCTGGATCTTGACGACGCGGCGCCTCAGGCTCAGGAGGATCTCGAAGAGGTTGTACTCCGCAAAGCGGCGCACTGCGTCGGAGTCCAGCGCCCTGTCGAGCTCCGCCACATTGACCGGCTCGTAGCGCAGCCACCCCGCCAGCTTCTCGTCCTCGGGGCCGATCTCCGGGTCGCCGTCCTCGTCCCTGTCGTCATCCTGCGGGTCTTCCGGGCCTGGCGGCGAAGATGCAGGAGCTGGCGGCGGTGCCGAAGATGCAGATGGCCCCGGCGGCGGGCTCGATGAAGATGCCGCTGGCGGTGGGCCCGAAGATGCAGATGGCCCCGGCGGCGGGCTCGATGAAGATGCCGCTGGCGGTGGGCCCGAAGATGCAGCTTTCGGAGGCGGAGTCGATGCGGCCTCCGGCCTAGGATCACGGAGCTCCCGAAACAAAGCTTCTTCCCGCCACGAGCGGCGGAACTTACGGAGGTTCCGGATGGCTATCTCCGACAGGTAGCCCAAGTCATCCTTGAGATTGTCGAGCTCCTTGTACGCCTCCTCGGCTCGCGCCTTCTGGTCGGGAGGGCACTTGTCTGGATGCAAGAAGAAGCGCATCTTCCTAAAGCATTGATTCACGGTGAGTTCGGGGAACACTCGCAGCCCGCAACGAGCCACCAGCATCAGCCCTTCATCCAGCACCAGGTCCGCGGCCAACGCCCGTAGTCGCGAGCTCACCATGGCCAGACTTCAGGAGATCTCGAGATGCAAAACTCGGTCGCACGCGCGAGCTCATGCCGGCAGTCAAACATGCAGCGAGCGGCACTGCAGCAAGGCTTCAACTCTCGGCTCCAGGCGCTGCGGCACCAAGCGGCGAAGCGAACAGGACGGACCTGAGAGCGAAGGAGGGGGCCCGGGCTCCGGGTGGGGTGGGGCTGCAAGGCACTCTAGCTACGGGCGGGGCGGGGAAGGCGGCAGCAACGGGCACTCCTGCGCTCACACAGTCACCCCAGGAAACCCGAACAAACCCTTAAGCCTTAAGAACCCTCTGAGGCTAGGAGCGCCGCGGAAGCGAAGAAGGTCCAGCCTGGGCGGAGCGAGGAAGGGGCCGGTGCTCCCGGACGGGAGAGGACGCAGGGCACTCTAGATTACAGGAGGGCGGGGAAGCAGAAACAGGCACTCCTGCGCTCACACTTGCACGACAGGAAAACCCAAAACCCCAATCCTTCCAAAAACCCCTGGCAAGCACTCTGAGGAGCAACGTGGCAGCGAAGAAGTCCAGACCTGGGCAGAGCGGGAGGGAGGTTTGGGCTTTCAAAGGCATTCCAACAGCAACGACCTACCAGACGCCGCATTAAGACACGGCAGTGAGAGGCGCTGGCCGGTTGCGCCCTGGACTCTCGGAAGGGTTTTGGCTGGGTTGAAAATTGGTGGGGGCCGAAAACGATACGTTGAACGAAAAAGCAAAGCCAAACCTCCAGAACTCATGTTGCGTACGACTTGCAAAAGGAACTGCTCAAGAAAGTTTGAATCACCATGGACAGCGCAGACTTCATGTAAAAAAAAAGGCAAAAACCAGAGTGTCCTGAGATGGTTATGCTGTTCAGCTTGAAAACATTGCAAGGGCGCTTTTGTCCTGTTAAAAAAATTACTGCGCAAAGGTTGTGCTACGTTTTCCATCATGCAATAGACTCTCGTTCGAAAACGTGACAGACATGCCCAATCGCTGCTCTGTCGGATATGCTGCAAAGGACGCTCGCAAAACCGTGCACGAGAGTTTATCTTAAAAAACTGGCCCCCGTACATTATGGACCCCAGAGGTCTCTGGTCTTCCCGGGCCATTTTTGCTTGACATGCCAAGTAACTGTAAGAAGGGAACGGATGCTTGTACAAACTCGCACCTGTTTAACTGTTTAGACATAACGAAGATTTGACAAATCAGAATCAACACCGGTGCTGAGTTCTCGGTTACGATCACGGAGACAAAGTTTCAACGCGATGAGTTGCTGCCATTCCGCGACCAAAAATTGGTCGAGGTTTCCGGCTTCACCTAATGCAACAGCAAAATGTGTTGCAAGAAAGCATACGAGCTGAGACGGGGACTTAGACCCTACAATGTGTCACACCAAGAGATTCTCGAACGAGACTTGTAAGCAGACACTGCAAATTTGAACCTGTCAGAGGCAACATGACAAAAGCAACACAGTGACTTCCCAATCTTGCAACATACTCCAATGAATCATCAGAGCAATTCGTCCTGCTGGTCGTACTGATTCTCAACCAGCACAAGCTATGAGATACAGAGAACCATGCATTCACTGGGCATCTTGGCCTTCCCGTCTCAGGCCAAAGCAATTCTAGCTTTGCACACCTGCCTTGCGCCAGCTTATTCAGAACTTTAGTACGCCGATCTGCCCTAGCCTACACTCCGCTTCATTTGTGTCATGTTATAAAAAACAACTTCCTGCTGCTAGGGCATCACAAAGCGTCCTCCACTACTCCTAGATTTAGACCCCGTCCAATGCCTCCCACACTTCCCAGCCTCTCTCTTCCAGGCTCTGCCAATCCCTCCCAGCCCCCAGCACCTCCCAGTGTCTCCCACCACAATCCAGGCCGGCAGGCCCTGACCTTAGTGAAAATTGGGGCTGCCTTTCCTGGCGGGGAGTCCCGCCAGACTGAGTTGCACAACAGAGCATTTCATGGCGCGGTTGGCCTTTTTCGCTGGATTCCATTCAATTTCACTTTTTGTGCGGGTTTGTGTGGTTTTTGCTCCTTTCTGCTGCATTTTTGCATTTTCAGCACATTTTTGTACGTTTTAAAGGTTGTTTTGGGTGGGATTCCGGTGGGTTCCGGTGGGTTCCGGTGGGTTCCGGTGGGTTCCGGTGGGTTCCGGTGGGCTCCGGTGGGCACCTGAAACTCTGCCAAATTTGCCACTTTTCCGGTGGGAATCCACTCCCTGAACCAAGCCCGGGTAACCAATTCTCACCTGAAAATCACCAAATGTTGCTGGTTTTCCGGTGGGAGTGCTTCTCGAAGCTATTATGCGTTGGCAAAATGATACTTCAGAGCAAATCCAAGCATGGATTCCGGTGGTTGAGTTCCAAGGCGCTTTGGGGCTGGCCGAGGCCCACCTGAATGGCCTGCTTAGCAGGTCAATTTCCCACCAAACACCTGCAAAAGTTCAATTTGCTTGAGTTTGCTTCAAAAATGGCCAAAATTTGTTTAAATGGCAGAATTCAGTTAGAACTTGTTGGAATTGCAATTTTCTGGCTGCCAACGCCAAACGGATCAGACAGGAGCACCTCTCCATAAAATCTGTTGGCTTACCGATCTTTGTGTTCCGTTTCACTGGAGCCAGGGCACCGTTGCTGAGTGCTCAGTTTTGAGGGCAGAAACTAAACACACTGAAAAGAACAAGGCTCAGGCTCGCTTCAAATTGCTGTTAGCGTGCAACTGCAAAGGGAACAGAAACCACGGTTTGAGACTCACAACTGCTGACATTGATTCGGTGCGAACTTTTGCAACCGCCAGCATAACAACGCTTGTTTATGCTACCACGTGGAAAGTGACGGCAGAATTGTGCTGCGAGAGCCAAATTTACATGCACTGAACTTGCTTCCATTTTCTCTTGCAGTCGGCAGTCTATCATGTTCAAAACCTAATTATCTCATTTCAAACTTCAAAAAACTTCAAGACGCAAGATTCAAGACTTCAGGACTCAAGACTTCCAAAAATTCAAGACTTCAGCCTCACGAGTTCTGGAATTGGGGGTTCACGATCAAAATCAAGACTTCATGATTCATATTCATTCCATGAGTCTTTGAATTCATGCGACGTTTTGATTTGTTTCAACAGAACTGAAACACAATGGGCGTCAGAAGCTGGAACCGAAAGACCAGGCAGACCAACAGGGAGTCACAAGGAGTTGGAGGGAGTGACTCGCGCCACCGTGCAGTTTCGTCGTTCGTAAATGATAGACTCTGATTTTGATTATCTTGTTTATTTGATTGACATTTGACAATGTAAGTAATAAATAACATGTAAAATGACATAATATGCTCGGTAACATTTGTCGAAACACGAAAAAGTCAAAGATCACGGCATCATGGCAACGGAGGAGTCATGACAATCCTAAATCGTGACAAGCAATGAGAGAACCTTCAAAACAATCAAACACTTGTTATATTGTTGATAAAACTTGAATTTTGACATCTTGAAATCATGAAAAAAATCTTTCTTACAAGTACTTTCTGAGCCATTGATTCACTGAGCCCTTTCTTTCCGACTCCACGGCCTTGGCCCTCCTCGCAAGCTGAAGCTTTGGAAACTTTTCCACCTCCAACTAGCTTATGCTTTACACACAAAATGAACTCCAATCACAATCCTTTTTCACAGCCAAACTTTAAAAAAAACTCCAAACAGCTCCACTTCCGCAGCGCGTCTTCCACTCCATTCCAAATCTTAGATTTGTGTCCAAGCCACACAACCAAGTCTCTTAAATGAGAACAAAATTTTTTCCAAGCAGAAAACTCCAATTTTCAACAGTTCCATTTGAACTGCAGTGTTCAGAAGAATCAGACCCTGCTCCAAGAAGGCGAAAGCACTGGGTGCAACCGACCAAGAGGCGCCTAGGGTCACCAAAAAGGGTTAGGGAAGGGGGAACCCGAACACCGAAACAAGCCAAGCAAACTGAGCTCCCGACGCAAGCCCACCTACCCGCCCGACCGCCCGCAACTACCCCCCGCCCTACAAGCTTGAACCTGCGAGCGCGGAAACAAAAGAAATCAACGCTGGGATAGGGCGCAAGGCAGCTGGGTTCCAAGTTAGTTCGGGCTCGGGACTCCGGAGCACAAACAAGAGGCACTTAAGTTCAATCGGCCTTTTCAAAAACCACGAGAACAGATACCGCTTGATCATAGCCAGAAGCCCGCGAGCTGTGAGAAACCAAACCGCGGCTGCAAGTCGTCTAGAAAATTTATCGCTCTCACAGCATGACTCAGTCCATGGAGTCCAGGCTGCCCAGACTTGATGCCGCCTTGGCTTCGTCGTCCTGCTTCTCGCCCTCGGCCTCGGACTGTCGTCCTTCGGGTGTATTTCTGCAGCAGAGCCAGAGCGTAGGCCGTCTTGAACTCTCTTGCAATGTCCGCCCCGACTCCACCCATCGTCGCCGAAAGGCTTCCTCGTCTTCTCTCATGAAGTTTCGTACTGCTACTCGGTCATGCAGTTCTCCAAAACGTAGAAGAAAGCATCCTCGTCCTCCTGCTGCAACATCTTGAGGCACTCGTAGCAGACACAAAACTGCACACCGTCGCTGTGACCGGACTGGTCGGCAAACATTCTGCAAAACACCGAGCTACGACAACGCTACTGGATGCGCTGCTCTGCCGCCTATGCTGCTAAATGTGTGTGTGTGCGACTCCATGCTGCTATGCGTCATGCGAACTGTGCTCGCTACCTTTGAGGGGGGTCGCGGAACGACAAGTTTAGAAGCAGGGCCGCGGGAAGGGAGCCTATGGGTTAGAGAGCACAAGGCACTCACAAGGCAGACGGGGAGCAAAGCCTGCGGGGGGCCGAAGGGGTCAGGGTGCCCTGAACCAAACCAAAAAGCAACCCCGGCAAAAGCACTCTGGCAAATTTTTACTGCAAAAGTCGGCGGGTCAGGCTAGAATACCTACAAATCAAAAAAAAAACTTCAATGAGCAAAGGCGAGCAGCATCGAGCATTCTGGTGAGACTGCATTC